CATCATTTAAAATACTCCAAGACGCAAAATCGTGAAATGACCAAGCTTTGCTTTGATAGATTCAGCTGGACAGCAGGTATCTTCAAACCAAAATATCACACTAATTTTGTCGTGACATGTGACGAGTCCCGCAACCTGTCGTGCTGAGGCCCAGCGAGATAAAAGGGTGGCGTGACCAGTCACTTCACTCAGGTGGGCGTGACCAGTCACTTTACTGAAGTGGTGTGACCAGTCACGTTACTCAGGTGACGGACCAGTCACGTTAACTCAGGTGGCGTAACCAGTCACGTTACTCAGGGTGGCGTGACCAGTCACTTCACTCAGGTGGTTGTGACCAGTCCGTTACTGAAGTGGTGTGGACCAGTCACGTTACGCAAGATGGCGCGTGATCAGTCACGTTACTCAGGTGGCGTGACCAGTCACGTTACTGAAGTGGTGTGACCAGTCACGTTACTCAGGTGGCGTGACCAGTCACGTTACTCAGGTGGCGTGATCAGTCACGTTACTCAGGTGGCGTGACCAGTCACGTTACTCAGGTGGCGTGACCAGTCACGTTACTGAAGTGGTGTGACCAGTCACGTTACGCAGATGGCGTGATCAGTCACGTTACTCAGGTGGTGTGACCAGTCACGTTACTCAGGTGGCGTGACCAGTCACGTTACTCAGATGGCGTGACCAGTCACGTTACTGATATGGTGTGACCAGTCACGTTACGCAGATGGCGTGATCAGTCACGTTACTCGGGTGGCGTGACTATTCACGCTGCTGATGTGGTGTGACCAGTCACGTTACGCAGATGGCGTGACTAGTCGCGTTACTCAAGTGGCGCGACCATTTAGCGGTTAGGCAGATGGCGTTGACCAGTCACTTTCACTCATGTGGTGTGACCAGTCACGTTACGCAAATGGCGTGACCAGTACGTTACTCAGGTGGCGTGACCAGTCACGATACTCAGGTGGCGTGACCAGTCACGTTACTCAGGTGGCGCAACCACTCACGTTACGCAGGTGGCGGTCCTGTATCAAGTGGTCGTCGCTGCCTTGTCGAACAATCCGCAGATGTTTTACATCATTGTGTGCGCCAGCCAGTCGGCGGCAGCAGCCTGTTCAGCTCAGTCAGCGGTCTTGTGAACGTCGGTTTCACTGACGCACACACCAGCGAACAATTCCCGGCTTCATTCAACGCTGCACCGCGCTACTGAGCGGACGCCTGGGCGCAGCAGGGAGTTGGGCTAGCGTCTGTCAAGACTGTCGGAGAGGCGTTGGGCTAGCGTCAACCTGATACCGCCACGCCACCTGCGTGGCGGTATATGATAGCCTACCCGCCACGCCACCTGCCGGTCAGCAGGACAGGGACGCGGCGGGACGGAGTTCCTGGACAGTTGCCAGGCGGTGCCGCCAGGGGCGCTGGTTTGATAAATGGCCGCGGGCTGTTCTACCGACGCTGCCGGTGGGCCACATCATAACAGCCTGGCACTGGATCGAATGATGACTAACACCTGGCCGCACGGTGTAACGCTAAGAACCGATGCGACTAATGGTTCATAAGGGTACATTTTGATCTCGAGAGATGACATGTTAACATGACATTCTAGTGACAGCATGCTGAATGATTTGAAAGCTGGCGAGTGGCATGCTGGGGCGAATTTAGAAGGTTAAATGTCTTCTATAAACAGAGAGAACTGGACGATGGCCAGCACGACGGCTTGCTTAGCTGAGGCTGAAGCATGTCCCCGCCCTACACGAGCTGATCCGACCAATGCCTCTTACCAGGCCAGCATTTGCCTGTTACTACGACCATCGAGCAAGGCAACCAATGACGTTTGGCCCAAGTGTCAACTTATCGACCTCCTCAACTTTTGCTACGTTAGCAAAGCAAGTGCGCTTTCACCCATCCGATGAAATGTGTTCTGATAACGCATAGGCTATCACTTGGCAAAATTCGTAGCTGTCCTCTTAACTCTGGAAACGGGTCACACGAAACATTTCGCATTTATCTCACTTACACTTCCCCGCAGAGCCACGGGACGCATGAGACCCAAAATATGTTAGGTTATATGTATTACAGGAGTGATAGCCGTCTCGAGCCCCCTCGATTTATGTCGTTCAGGTCAGTACGAGGCCAGTGGCTGGCCACTTCGAAGAACAGCATGTATGCTTCGCAGCTGTTGGCGCGGCGCATGCGGATGGGCTGCACGGCTGGACTCTGGAGTCGTTACACCCGTACCAGACTCGTGAAAGGGGTGTTTACGGCGGGCAGTGTAGTGCAGCCCGAGTGCGCCACGCCAGAATGGTCGGTCACGCTGTACACGGTGTGCATGCAGTGTCCCAGCACGACAGAGCCTGGCCACGAGTCCAGACCACTGGCGGAGAAGTTCACGGTGGTATTCAGCTTACCTCTGCATTGATCCTGCCGCAGTGAGAACCACTCCAGGTGCACTACAAGGGCGCGTGGGAACCTCTGAATTAGGAAATTATTCGAGGCCGAGACCGGCATCGGCTCCATCGTCCGTTCACCGTCATAATCAACGGAACCCGGCCCGGAATCGCGCGAATCAATCAAAGATGCCCTTGCTATTTTATCTTAGAAAATAGCCCTGGTACGTCACCACACGCAGCCAACCACAAACAAGAAGTGGCTGGTCAGTCGACCACAGATGGAGAACACAGTCCGCCTCGTCCTCTTTGCCGGCAGCTCGATGTCGCTTTTCGCTCGCCGCCAGGACAGTCCGTGCCATTCCTCCCGGACTATAAGCCTCAGCACGTGAGCTCCGTCCTATATGCGCTCAAGAGGTTGCACACCAGCCCATGCTGCTCCAGATGAGCCTTCGCCTGATCTGAACTCGTGACGTCTTCCATCACCAGGACGTCGTCTACGTACTTACTGATGGCGGCATCTATATTTTCATCCCATCTAAGCGCGATGCTCGACACCTTCACGGCCAATGGCGCAATGCTCATGCCGAAACCGAGTCTGGTCAAGCACCCTTTGACCCTGACAAACAGCAGTTCGGTAAGCCCACAGCGATTGATGTCCGCTGATCTGTAGGTAAGCGTCACGAAGATCTAGCGGGGCCACGTTTCTCGCACCGGCGCCACTCTTGATCTTTTCTGCACAAACGTCCGCGTCAGCCGTGTGCGGGTCACCAGGTGGGCGTTTATTAGGAGGTCGTTCACTAGGTGGGCGTTCACTAGGAGGGCGTTCACTAGAGGGCGTTCACTAGGTGGGCGTTCACTAGGTGGGCGTTCATTAGGAGGGCGTTCACTAGGAGGGCGTTCACTAGGAGGCCGTTCACTAAGCTGGCGTTCACTAGGTGGGCGTTCACTATGAGAGCGTTCACTAGGTGGGCGTTCACTAGGTGGGCGTTCACTAGGTGGACGTTCACTAGGTGGGCGTTCACTTCTCTGAAGTTCAATACTGGCCGTGCTTTACGCTTCTCCTGTTGTATCGTGACCATGAGGGGGATCGTTCCCCTCACTTTCCGTGTAGCCGTTCTTTTGTAACGGACGGGCCACCCTTCATCCACCCACTTCGAGAGAACTCGCTCATGACGTGCTGCGGTGGAATTCGATACTCTTCAAAGGTTTTCAACCGCTTTTCCGGCCCTTTCTGCCGCGCCACTTCCACTGAGGCCCACTTCTA